CGCATTACCTTTGCGTTCCCTCACAATACTTTTGCGTTCCCACGCATTACCTTTGCGTTCCCTCACAATACTTTTGCGTTCCCACGCATTACCTTTGCGTTCCCTCACAATACTTTTGTATTCCCACACATTACCTTTGCGTTCCCTCACAATACTTTTGTGTTCCCACACATTACCTTTGTGTTACCTTGCATTAACTTTGCGTTCCCTCACAATACTTTTGCGTTCCCACGCATTGCCTTTGCGTTCCCTCACAATACTTTTGCGTTCCCACACATTGCCTTTGCGTTCCCTCGCAATACTTTTGCGTTACCTCGCAATACTTTTGCGTTACCTCGCAATACTTTTGCGTTACCTCGCAAATGTTTGATTTGTTTATGAACTGAATTAAATCAGACTTTTATTTTGAAATATCTGGTTACCAAAACAGGATGTGTCGCCACAAGTTTGTGAAATTGGCATTGATGTTGCGTGGCTGTACTGTGATAAAATATCGACATATGACATATTTCCATGCAGAGCTGTGTGATGTAGCCACCATAATATATTCATTCTGAAGCTGAGTTAAAGCAGTAGGCAAACTCGCTAATGGTAAACATGTGAGTTTATTAATAAACCAGCAGGCACAACAGTGTTTAACGACTTTTGCGAGGTAACGCAATACTTTTGCGTGGGAACGCAAAAGAAAAAAAATCCCCCATGTCCCCTCGCAGTCTCAGTACTAAACGGGTAGAAGGACAATGAAAATCGGATCGAGTTGCACTTCTAACAAAATGTTTTTGCAGAACCAAAATTTTTCATAAAGTTGAAGGGAAAGTATACTTCCCCAAACTATATTGCAATAACATAAATATGAATATATCAAACTATAATAAAGTGTAAGCAAACATTCTGCAGTGATGTAATGACTAACCCTCTTAATTATACCAACAGATTTATGTAATTTGCTACAAAACCAATCTTTCCACCATATGTTCTCATCAACAATAACTCCAAGAAATGTTGTTGATGATACTCGTGGTATTATTATACCATTAATAGCAATTTTTAGACATTTTTTATTTTCAATATACATGTATGACTTTTTGCCACTGAAAATGATGAAATTTGATTAATAATCTTGCATCTTTCAGGATCGTAAACAGCCGGATGTTTGCGACAGGTTTTTCCATGACGTTCCCTTCGAGGCGGATTTTGCGTCGGACGTGCCGGAGCTGCAGTCCATGGCGTCCATGCCGGGCGTGGACGGCTTCACGATGAAGGTGGACGCCCTCTACAAGGTGACCGGATGTTTGATTGTTCGGCTGAAAAGGTTCAAGTGACGTCACGAAGCACAGCGAGGAGGAGAGGTCGTCAGCTTACAGCTGCTCCAGTCGTGAAATGAAAAACGATCATTACTACACGAGTTACGAGTCGTTAGGTGCCGCATGTTTGTTGATGTTAGCCGCTAATGCTAGCATCTTAACATATAGAACGAAAAAATCATCATGGAGCCATTTGGTTCGGAAGTTTTGGACCTTTTCTTTGGTTTTGTTGAAAACTCATCATCTTCATCAGATCCGGGTCACGTCTGACATAATTGTGAACTAATGTTTGTATCTTGGTTTTGAAATTGGATCTTAATCTGTACTCTACAACGGTTTCCTCAGACGTTTTACTTCCTGCCCTCCATTTCAAATTGCCCATCAATCAAACCAACGTGACTTAAAGTGCCTGTGTCGTCAAATTTTTGTACTACATGTGAATGCGTTTTTAGAAAGATAACATTGGTAAAATCTTGCAAAAGAAATTTCATGTCGCTGAGATGAACAGTTGTTGAGATATTCACATGTAAAGAAACAGGAAGTGATGTCAAAGGGGAATGTCTGCATGTGAACAAAGCAATGTTAAAACAGCTAAAAACCCAGACTGTAGAGAAGAATCTGATGTTTCTTAAGATTATTTTGAGTCTCTATCAGAAATGTAGAAGAGTTCAAATAATATTGTTTTAATAAACAAAGACCAGAGAGTTTTCTTTGTTAAAGAATTCCTCTCTGATGTCACTTCCTGTTTCACTTTGGCTGAGCCACGTTCAAAAGAAAATATGCCAGTTATGGGACAAAATGGGTTAAATAGTGTGTTTTATTCCAACTTTCTTAAATATAAAGATGTTTTCTTTGACTTTTTGTATTTGATGAACATGCAGGTCACAGGTAGTTTCTGGAAAACCCTGAAAAAATTTGAACAGATTACAACCTTCAGGTCCCGCCCCCTTGCTCTCTGTTAAGCTTAAGCCCAACTTCCTAAGCTCCTCCCACACAGCACGGCCTGAGTCAGGAGCTTGAATGAGAGTGTGCATGGCTGCGTACTGGGGCGGGGGGTGGCGCAGCTCATTCACAAACATGATTGACACCTGTAAGACTGGGCTTTGATTTTATTTTGTTTAAGTAGCAAAAGGCTAACTAGCAGCCAAAATCGGCTAAAATTAGCTAAGCACTAGGTAAAATCAGCAAAAGATTACCAAAAATTAAAAGTAGCAAAAAGCTAGCTAAAATAACAGAAWGAGAGCTAAAAGGTAAATATATCGAAAAGCTAGCTAAAATAACAGAATGACAGCTAAAAGTTAAATATATCGAAAAGCTAGCTAGAAGTTAAAAGTAGCATATGGCTAACTAAAAGCTAAACAAAATCACTAGGTAAAAGCAGCAAAAGTATACCAAAACCTAAGTAGAAGAAAGCTAGCCAAAAGTAGCAGAACAGCAGCTAAAATCTAAACGTATCAAAAGGTTAGCTAGAAGCTAAAGGTAGCATGTGGCTAACTAAAAGCTAAAAAAAAAGCACTAGGTAAAATCAGCAAAAGTATACCAAAAATTAAAAGTAGCAAAAAGCTAGCTAAAATAACAGAATGACAGCTAAAAGTTAAATGTATCAAAAAGCTAGCTAGAAATTAAAAGTAGCATATGGCTAACTAAAAGCTAAACAAAAGCACTAGGTAAAATCAGCAAAAGTATACCAAAACCTAAGTAGAAGAAAGCTAGTCAAAGGTAGCAGAACAGAAGCTAAAATCTAAATGTATCAAAAGGTTAGCTAGAAGCTAAAAGTAGCAGAGGCTAGCTAAGAACTAGAAGTAGCTGAACGAGAGCTAAAAACTCATAAAATAGATCACATATACTGAACTAGAAAACAGGAACGGTAGATTTGAACAGATGGGACCACCGCGAGGAGCCAGAGGACTTTTGTTTTTTCAGAGATTATCTGTCTGATATCAATCTGTCAGGACGTAGTGACAGTTTGAACAAATACGTCAAAAATATATTTTTATAAAAGTTACAGACTGCAGCTTTATTAGCTATTTACACGCTGCTTATGTGATTGACAGGTGGAGGCGGGGCATCAGTGGTACCTGCAGGTGATCTACGTGATCAGCCCGGAGTCGCGCTCCGGCCCCAGGCTCCAGCGCTCGCTGACGACTCGGCTGACCCGCCCCAAACGTGACCTGGTGGACCGCGGCGGGCGCCTGGCGCTGGACGAGTCGCTGGTCTACGACAACGAGGGCGACCAGGTGAAGAACGGCACCAACATGAAGCCGCTGAGCCTGGAGGTCGGCCCCTCCCCCACCTTCAACGCCCACGTGGGCAGCTCGGTGGGCGGGGGCTTGGCCGCCCTGGCCCTGCTGGTCCTGGTCCTGCTGGCGTCCTGCTTCCTGTTCCGCCGCTGCCGGCTGACGGCCTCCAAGGAGAAGGGCTTCCCGAAGCCCTGCGAGGAGTACCCCCTGAACACCAAGGTGGAGGTGTGCCTGGACAGGTGTGTGGAGAAGAACTTCAGCAGCAAGCCCTGCACCGTCAGGAACGTCAACATCAACCGCAACCAGGAGCCCCGCGCCAAGGTCAAGCAGGTCAACCTGGAGGTGAAGCTCCACAACAACCTCAGCGACGGCACCGAGGTCTGAGACCGGGTCTGACCCGGCACGGACTAAAATAAACGTGTTTGTACTTCACGGAACCAGATATTTGTATTTTTATACCACTTTGGACAAAGGGAAGAGTTCAGGCGACCGGGCTACCTCAGGAATCCACAAACTGCTCGGCTGAGCCAAACAGCCGAAACAGCCGGGCTTCCAAACATCTTTAAGCTTCTACTTGATGCTCGTTTCAGCTGATTTGTAGCTCAAGACACTGTTTTTTTTCTCCTGCTATTTTGCTGCTTTAAGTGTCGTCACTGTATCGCTCCGTTATCCAGAAACAACTCTGAGTTGGTTCATCCTGAGTATAGGGAAACCCTGAGTTTGTCACCTTGGGAACCAAACACCTGGATATACTTCAGTCAGAATCTCCGTCCAGTAAAGTTTAACTCTTGAAACAGCCCAACTCTGTGTTTTCATCTCGATGATGACTTTGTGTTGCTCTTTACTCAGGGTTAAGGTACTCTGAGTTATTTAACATTAATGTAGCCTTTTTTTTTGGAACCCCCCTCCTGCTGGAGGTGATTTAATTCCAGGTTTGTGGATTTAACTCCGGGTTTGTGGATTTAACTCCAGGTTTGTGGTTGAACTCCAGGTTTGTCAACCCCAGGTTTGTGGATTTAACTCCAGGTTTGTGGTTGAACTCCAGGTTTGTGGTTGAACTCCYGGTTTGTCAACCCCAGGTTTGTGGATTTAACTCCGGGTTTGTGGATTTAACTCCAGGTGGATTTAACTCCTGGTTTGTGGATTTAACTCCAGGTTTGTGGTTGAACTCCGGGTTTGTGGTTGAACTCCGGGTTTGTGGTTGAACTCCGGGTTTGTGGTTGAACTCCGGGTTTGTCGACCCCAGGTTTGTGAATTTAACTCCAGGTTTGTGGATTTAACTCAGAGTTTGTGAATTTAACTCCAGGTTTGTGGATTTAACTCCAAGTTTGTGGATTTAACTCCAGGTTTGTGGTTGAACTCCGGGTTTTTCGACCCCAGGTTTGTGAATTTAACTCCAGGTTTGTGGATTTAACTCAAAGTTTGTGGATTTAACTCAAAGTTTGTGGATTTAACTCCAAGTTTGTGGATTTAACTCCAAGTTTGTGGATTTAACTCCAGGTTTGTGGTTGAACTCCGGGTTTTTCGA